CTTCCTACCTTCTCCCCTCGCCCCCTACCCATCCGCTCTTCCATACGCGTCCTTCATCTCTTCTCAGGACATAGGAGACAAGGGGACCTGCAGTGGCATATGGAAGTCTTGCTCGCTGCAGCAGTTTCCAACACATCTCACCGTTCTCAGTACCGACGTGGCGAGAAACACGCTGTCCATGGAGATTTGACCAATGATGAAACTGTTCTCTTGTGAGTCCTCCTTCTCCGCTCGGGACGGGTTGCTGCTGCGGTTGCGGGTCCGCCGTGCGAGACGTGGTCGTCGGCCAGATTTCTCCCTGTGCCCCCTGAGGCCCCTGGCGGGGCCCGTCCTCCTAAGCCCATGAGGACTCCCGGCTCGATCTGGGGACCAAGTCATCTCAGAGAGCGGGAGGCGGCACAACCCGCCGTCGGCAATAGGCTGCTCAGAACCACCATTCGGATGTTGTATGAGGCGTGGATAAATGGCGTACCAGCTCTCATGAAGCACCCTGCCAAGCACCCTCGTGTGCCTGAGGCCCCCTCTTCTTGGGACCTGCCAGAGTTGGTCCGCTTAAAGGCCCTCCCCAATGTTTGCCTTCATCGGATTGACCAGTGCGTGTTTGGCTCTCCTCATCTGAAGCCCACGGGGCTCCTTGGGGTCCATCTGGGGTCGCTGGGGGAGTTATTGCTGGCCAAGCGTGGATTGCCCTCCGCCGCGTGTTTCCTTTGAGGATTTGGTTCGCCCTCGCCCCCTTTGGTGCAGAAGTGATGAGTGATCTCTCGGAAGGCTTCTCCAACTTGCCCCGACGGACGACGGCTAGGACCTGCCGTATGGATTGCGACGATTTGCTTCCCCCTGGGATCCACACCTTGCGACGGGAATTTCTATGGAATGTATGCTCCATATCAGGAACGGGCATCGCACAGCTAACCACAACGGTGAGCACTCCTCTTCTCTTTCTCTTTCTTCGCCTGGAGTTGCAGAGCTTGAGGCATTAGGTGATGAATCGTGAAGGGCACAGGGGGGAAGGAGATGCCAGGATCACATCAGATCCTCGCGGTAGCGCCAACCTTAGTCAGTATCCTCTGTGTGATGCCAGGGGGCCACATAGGGTCTGGCTGTCCCCGTCAGGGGAGTAACAGTTCTAGCCTGTGTAAGATCTTCATTATTTTTCTATCCTCGGCTCTCATTCCATTTTCCAACCCTTAGTGCCCATCCACTTTAGCGATCGTACCCAGCTCTCTAGCTGGCAGGTCCCCTGCGTTCCTGCCCCTGCTGTTGCCCCCATTGTTCTTCACTCATTGGGCTCTCTCTCTGCTCTCTATCCATGCACTTCGACCTCTCTTGCGCCACGACCGACCGACCGACCGACCGACCGACCGACCGAGGAGGAGGAGGAGGAGGAGGAGGAGAAGGGGCAGGAGAGGGAGGCGGGGCAACACTGTGCTCTAACCTACCTCGATCCTATACCTCATTCCGACCGTGTGTTGATGTAATTTGTTGTTGTTCTAGTTCTGCGGGCTCAGTGTCCAGAAATTGCGGTCCGAATGGACACCTTCGCCTCCTTGACAGTTTTTGCTCGCAGGCAGTCGGCAGACTCTAGTGCTGACTCCGATGCGTACGATGCGCCTCTTGTGGAGAAGCGGGCCGAGTTGAACGGAGCCGCTTCTCCAGAAGTTTGTGCTTGTACATGTTTTTCTGCAACCCCTGGCGCCACCCAAGCCCTGGCGCCCTCCGAACGACGATCCCGACCCCAGCGCTGATGACATGCACGCGGCGCCTGTTTTCGAATGCCGCGCCATCAGCGCTGGGGGCGCGAGGTCGGCCATGGGAGGCGCCAGTGACAGTTCCCTCAACCTACCGGTTGCAATTGTCCCTTACTCGCCCGAGAACCTCGAGCGAAATGTGGAATGTCGACGTCTCTTTCCAGATGTGGTCCGTGGCCTCGGCGGGGTTGCCAGTCAGGAAGCCGTAGAGGACCATCCCCAGGAAGGTGTTCGCCTGGAGCCGCCCGTACACGGTTATCGTCCCCAGTACGAAGAGCCAGAGGAACCACACGTTGAAGTACAACTTCTCCTGCTCTTCGTGCCACCTGGCGCGGACTCCTGGAGAAACGAGAAGATACCGATACTGCTACTTGGCGGACCTCCCCCAGGGTGCGTTCTGACCAGAATTTCGAGCCGAATCCAGTCGGTGTTACGATGGCTCTCCTGGTCGAGCAGCAGTATGGGAATATGTTTCTCATTTGAGACTCCAGAGAAGCAGCAGCGGGACAGCAAGGCGTCGATCACAGTGACGGGCATGCATGGCCATCCTACTGGGAGACGGCCCTGCTTTAACGCTTTCCCGCAGTGGCGGCACTCAAGTACACCTTCGGCCTCGGGATCAGACAACGGGCCTCCTGGCGTCGATTCCTTTTGGATGCGGCAATCTGGGCAGTGGCTAAGCCCTATTGGGCGCTTCTCGTTCTCGTGTTTTTTTGCAAACTGCTTGCTGGCTTTGTCGGTGTACGAGATGCTCGAATACTTCGCGATGTACACCTCGAGCAACATCAGGGCGATGCAGCTGGCCCCGGCCGGCAAGAACCACCATGGTGGATACGAAATCTTGGGCTTGCTAAGTGGTCCCCCGTTCTTGTTCTGGCACGACATGTGCAGGAGACCCACCCCCATGAAACAGAACATCACAAATGAGTGCACGAGCGGGCACCACATTGCTAGCTTGATGACGGGACCGGTGCAATGTGAACGCGGACAATTCTTCTCTGCGTCCTTCATCTTCAAGATGTCCACCACGAAAAACGGCAAGCATCCAAGCACGTATGGCCCGCCAGACTGTGACTCGGCGCGCTTCTCCACAAGAGGCGCATCGTACGCATCGGAGTCAGCACCGGAGTCTGCCGACTGCCTGCGAGCAAACACTGTCAAGGAGGCGAGGGGGTTCATTCGGACCGCAATTTCTGGACACTCTGAGCTCGCGGAACTAGAACAAAAGCTGCATAATCATAATGTCTCGGAGATCCGCGCGGATTTCTTGGATTGGCGCTGGACGCCGCTCACTAGCGCGTGAAGCTCGCCAGGGGCGGACCCACAGGTGTTGATAGGGGAGGAGCCCCTGGCGGAGCCTCCGGCGCCGCCAAGCGCCGATCCAAAAGATCCACGCTGACCTCCGAGAAACTATGTGTATGCCTTTTTTTCTGTTCTTCGATGTGAGCTCGCGGAGCTATAATCTGGATCGCCAGCCACGCGTGAACGGCACGCGGCAAAGCCCCTCGCTCTCGGGCACACATCTCGAGCCACAGCGGGCGAGGGCTGTGTCCTGTGAACAACTGCGCGGCTGGAAACACTTGTTTGGCCAGGCCCAAAGACAGCCCCCTATGCTAAGGCCACCATCGAGGACACTTTTCCTCGCAGCTCTCTGCTGAGCGTCAAGATGCCCGAGCGCGAGGCGCTCGGCGACGAGGCAGGCACTCGGAGTTTGGTCACGCTGGTTAGATGGCTGGATTCAACTTACGACGCACCCCCACCCCACGCAACCCCACACCCACCCCACAGTCTGAGATTTTTTGCTCGCCAGCGGGCCGAAACCACGCAACGGCTGACAGGAAAGAACGCTCGGGGGTGACACAGCTAAATAGCGGAAACACGCATCCGATTGCGCCTCAAAGTGCAGAAGGGGGAGCACTAGAAGAACGCGGAGGCAAGGGAACGGAAGCCGCACGGCGAACGGATCGGTCTGGGCCTAAGCGGTTCAGCTGGCAAGAAGAAGCCGGATCCTGGACTCTGGGGCCTTTCCCTGAACCGAATCTTCATCCTGAATATTTGTTTGACATTCCCAAGACTTGGGGAGGGTCCCGAGAGCCCGGGAACGGCGCAAAAACCCGGGACACGTTTCCCTCATCTTCTCTCCATGGCGAGTCCAAGGAGGCGCCATGACCCCAAGCGGGCGTGTTACTAGACGAGGGCGGCAGCAAGACGGCGCGTCCCCAGGCACGCGTTGACAGCGGCACGCAACGCCTGGGCCCGCCAGGGTGCGACCAGCTGGCTGTTCCACTTGGGACCCGCGTGTAAGTATACGTATATGTATACATGTTTGCATGGGTGTGTATATATACGTAGATTAATGTATACTGATGTCTATAACTATGTGTATATCGCAAACCAATATATTCATGTATACAGCTATACACACATGCATAGATCAATCCATACATGCACACATACATACATACGTACATGCAGGCATGCATGAACACATGCATACATGCATACATAAATACGTATGTACACATCTACAAGTGAGACTACATATGCATACACATAACATACATATATGTAAATACATGTACGGCGCATATGCGTATATGTCTACAACCACACATATGCATACACATATCCATATCCACATACGCATACTCATACACATACGTAATCATACACTTGCATGGCTATATCTATACATTTACACATACACATACCTATGAACACATATATACATACACGCACACATACATACGCACAGACATGCAAACATACATATGTGATGGTCAATATGTGTTGATATGTGTATAAGTATAACTACATAGATTTATTGTTTCCTAGATGTGCTTGCGCTTGAATGCAATAGCACGTGTGCAAAATAATTGGGTCGTGTAGGCGGTCGAACGGCACCATGCCGGCCGTCGCCGCCCTGTCACCGCCTCGTCGCCGCTTGTGGCCTGAGCCGTGTTGGCGGTCTGGCGGCTCCGTGCCGGCCGTCGCCGCCACGTCGCCGCCTCGTCGCCGCCCGTCGCCGCCGTTGGACTGCGCAACGTAGAACGCACGGGAAACATCGCGCCCGCGGTGCGCTTCTTGATCGTTCACAACACGTAGTGAACAACATCGAATACACCATCTATATAGCACAGCGAAGATTGCACCACATAGGTTGCACAACATTGAATGCATCACGTAGCGTGCACAACGTGAATTGCACCTCGCAGAGCGCGCCACATGGAAAGCAAACCAACATTTGCACCACATGGAAATCATAACACATATCGATGCACGTGAATTGCGCGACGCACGACGCACCATCAAAAACCATCAAACGCGCCTTTCGCGTGAACATGTCGATATCGCCCGAACGCCCTTGTGCGCGCGCCGTCACCAAAACCCCCTTTCAAAAAACGGGGCGGCATGCGCGCGCGCGTCGTCGCGCCGTCGCGCGCGCGCGCGCCACCATCCTTCAAAAAACGAAGTTTCGAGTGCGCCTGGGAAAATGTATGGCTCGGCAACATCAGTTTTGCAAATTGCCGGCGCCCGCACCCTTACGGAGTCTCAAAACAACCACGAGTTTCCAACATATTCATTAATTTCTGACGAGAAAGCCTGTTCGCGCCACACGTCGAGATCATTCGAACGCCCTTGCGCGCGATCCGCGTTAACCGATGTCGCGCGGACCGCTCTCGCGCGTCGGCCGCGCGCGCATGTTGGTATCCATCCATAACCTTTCATCACCGACGCGAGGACACCGCCACCGCCGCCAGCGCGATCAGCATCGGCGCCGTCATTGGCCTTGCCGTCGTCGTCGTCGTCACCTTCATCGCCAGCATCGCCACAACCATCGCCGCGTCTACCGTTGTCGACGTTGCCATGATGCCGTGCAAGCCCAAGCTGCCGACTCGCAGTGGAGCGCCCGCTGGAAGTGCCCAGCGGTCAGCGCAGCGCGCGCGCGCGCTAGCGCGGCCGTGGCGACGCGCTAACCAGCGCAGAGCAGCCATCGCAATCGCTGCCGCATGGGCTTTTGAAAAACCACATTGCGGGCGCGCTGGTGGGATGATGGCGCAATGGAATTGGCGACTTCATCTTCTGCAGGGTGAACTACCTTCTACGAGAATATGATCTATCCCCCCCCCGCTCTCCCCCCCTCTCCCCGCGCCCTTCTTCGCGGTGTTATTTACGTGCGATCCCGCCCCATCGTCCATCCTAAACCTGGGTTCGTTCTCTCCCAGGCAGGGCAGCGCCCGCCCCCCCACCCCCCCCCATCACCCATATCATCACCCCCCCTTTTGCAAAAAAAAACAACAGCCAACAACACCACAAACAACACGCGCGGGCGCACGCCGATCAAAAATCAGAAATGTCCAGAACCCGGAGCAACAGAAATGGGCGAAGTGCACGCGCCCCTCGCGCGCCTAAAAACTCGAAGAAGAACCGTTGGTTTTGCGGTTGGTCTCTTTGTTTTTTGGGGTTGTTTGGGGGGTTTGGGTTGGGGCGTCCTGTGTTCGGGGGGGGGTGGGGGGGCGGGGGCCCTTGGTTGGGTTTGGGGGCCGGATTTCGATATCGCGCGCCCCGAAAACACGCTAGCAAGCATATGGCTTCGCAACGGGAATGCGCAGAGAACTCGCGCCCGCGCCCATGCGAATCCAACGGGAACCCACGGGTGTTTCTGCGCGTTGATAAACTTACGCCAGAAGGCCTCTCTCGCGCGCGCGTCGAGATATCGACCGCCCCATCGCGCGCTGCCGCAATAATCCCAAGCGAAAAACGCGGCGAGGCGCACTCGCGCGCGTCGTCGCGCGCGCCGAAAACTTTCTGGAACTTGAAGGTCCTCGCGGATTCCGGGATCGAGTGCCCCGACAACACATAAAAAACAAATTGCTTTGCAGCGCCAGTTTTCGAGCCCAAACTGCGCTCGAGTCCTTGAGAACGACCTGCGATTTCTGCGATTTTCAAAACCTCCATTCGATGAATCGGGCCACTCTCCCCGCGCGTCGAAATCATTCGGGCGCCCTCGCGCGCGCATCTCGACTGCCTTCTAATACTTGCGTCGCCGATGCGACGACGCTGCCATCGCCGTCGGCGTGATCGGCAACGGCGACGTCGCTGGCCGCGCCGTCGTCGTTGTCATGATCGCCGCCGGCGTCGCCGCCGTCGCCCTCGCGCCCGCCGCCGCCGTTGCCGCGACGCCGCGCCCGCCCAGGTCGCCGACTCGAGCTGGGTGCCCGCTAAGAAGCGCTGGGCGGCCAGCGCCGCCGCGGCCGCGACTGTCGCGCCAAACTAGCCCGCCGCTTCGCGCGCGAGAACGCGCTCGCCATCGCGGCCGCAGAGATGCGCCAGCCGCCACCAGACGCCGGTCGCAATCGATGCCGCACGGGCGGACGCAGACCCAGCCGCGGGCGGGCGGGCGAGACGATTGCGAGAGCAGCGGGGCTGACAACTAACTGCCCACATATAAACGCACGCGCGGCATAGATCCCGCGACGTAGCCGGCAAAACACAGATCGCACACCATGGCTTGGGCAACAACGATTGCGCCGCATCGAAAGCTGCACGTACTTAGACTCTCCTTTCGCGAAGAACGATAGGGACCGCGCGCGGACCCCCCCCTTCCCAGACTTGACGGCGCTCCTTTTCGCATTGCAAATTGCAATTGTTTCTGCTCCATCGCCCGCCCTATAGGGGCTCAAATCGCCCCGGCCAAGCCGGCGCCGCCCCGCCCCTCATCCTCTGCCCAAAAACTGCGCGCGCGCGCTCGCTTGCTTAAAAACTATGGGTTCTCATGTGCCATTTTCTACCGGCCAAAAAAACCCGCGCTCGCGGCTTCGCGAATTCCTCAAATGACCCTGCGTTGGCAATCGTTTTACGAACGTCTGCCAAGCGGGGCTCCGCGCCGCGCGTCGAAATCGCGCGAGCGCCTTTGCGCGCGTGCTGGGGGGGGGGGGGGGCGCGATCCGCGTCAAATTATGCCGCGCGGGCCACTCTCGCGCGTCGTCCGCGCGCGCATGCCGAATTCCTCCCTCCCCGAACTTTCCATCGCCGGCGCGAAGACGCCGTCGTCGCCGCTGGCGCGATCAAGCATCGGCGCCGCTACTGGCCGCGCCGTCGCCACCGTGCTCGTCGTCGCCCACGCCGCTAGCATCGTCGCCGCGTCAACCGCCATCGACGTGGCCACGATGCCGCGC